TTGATCTGAAAGGTGCCTTGTGGGCTCATCTCTAGGGCGCTTTGCTCCCCAAGCTAGCACAGATGGTTCTGGGACAGGGAGGTGCTGCTGCCCTGGCCAGCTGCAGTGGTGCCCAAGAACAAGGGGGCAGCAGCATGGTGAGCAGGAGAGCTCACCCTGGACAGAGAAAGGAATTTTCCTTCTGTATTTCAAAGATGGTCTTCAAAGGGCAGTGAGTGTATCAAGTCTGGAGTGGAAAGTCCTGGGTTCGAATCTTGCCTCAGATACTTACTAGCTATGTAATCTTGAATATCTCACTGTCCTCATTGGCAAAATGGAGATCATAATACTTAAATACCTTACCTCATGAGATTGTTGTGATGAAAACCTGTAAACTTTAGACTATAAAAGTGTCCATTCATTTATTAGAAAAGCATCCATTAAGCACCTTTACTATGTGTAAAGGAGTGGTTAAGTTGTAGATTGGATACAGCACTGGACTTGGGGTCAGAAAGACCTGAGTTCAAATCCAACTTCAGACACTTACTGGCTGTGTGAACCCAGGCAATTCACTTAACCTGTTTGCCTCGGTTTCCTCATCTGTAAAATGGGAATAATAATAGCACCTCCCTTCCATGGTTGTTGTCAGGATTCAATGAGATAACTGTAAAGCATTCAGCACAGTGCCTAGCACATAGTAAGTGCCATATAAAATGGGGGGGGCAGCTGGCACCAGCAAGAGATCAGCAAAGGTCTCTTGTGGGAGATGATGATACAAGGAAGCTAAGAGACACAAATGGAGGCCCCTAAGAGTCCTCTCTATGAGGTGGAGGTGGGGAGGAAGTGCCTTCTAGGAATGGGCATGGGGAGACAGAATGAGAGACTCTCCTGAAATTGCCGGGTCTTTCTGACTGGCATAAGAATTCCCATAGGCTGCAGGGCTCAGCCCCGGTGTCCTCCTCCTTCTCCACCCTCCACCCCTACCACAGCACCCGCACTAACCCCTCTGCCATGGCCAGGGACCTCTCATCAACGTCAGATTCCAGGGCTGAGTCAAACTAGGGACCCGCCCTGTTGCTGATGCTCTGGGAGGGCAGGAGGCAGGGGCATGAATGGGGTCAGGTGACTGGAGGGAGTGATTGGGGCCGGGTTGTGGCGGTGGTAGTAAACTGGCTTCCCTACGTGGTGCATCTCCTTTCTTCTCTTCTCCCTACTCCACCTCTCCCTTCCTTCTCACCTCTTTTCCCTTCTCTTCCATCCCTTACAGTCCCAGGAGAAAAGCTATCAGGATTGGGGGGAGGGGACAGGAGAAACTTAGGAATTCTGGTTCTTTCCTCCCCATCACTTCAGGCCCTGGGCACAGTGCCCAGCACATAGTAGGAGTCTTAAGAAACACTGTTTGAAATTGACTGAATGTTTGTTGATGAGGCTGCTTTGTCTAACCCTGTGCAGGCAGAGGGGGTTGGTACTGACTGGGTGACAGAACCAGCCACCAGCCAGCTTCTCCGTCCTTCCACCTCCCCTCCCTGCTCAGAGGACAGGGGGAGGGCTATGAACTGAATTGTTAAAAGAAAGCAGAGCCCAGCACTCTCCAGACTATGCCCCCCCCCATTCACCCAAGTCAGGAAGCCTTCCAAGACTGGGGGGGGGTTCAGATGGGGGGGATGGGTAGGCAGTGGACAGGGAGAAGTTTTGAGTTCTCCCCAGACCTAACATTGCAGTCCCATAATCCTCTGTCCCAGAGAAAGGACAGCAAATAGGCTGGCTTTTTTTTTCCTGTCTGGTCCTCATTAGGATGCTGGTTCCTGGGGGGCCCCCTGACCTGAAGCTGAGACACTGAGAACAATGATCAATGGGCACAGCTCACCAGGGACTCGGGCCTGAAGGCAGATTGAAAAGCAATGACCCCATGGGATCTGAGAGGGGGGAGGAGCAGGAGGAAGGGAGGGGGTCAAGATGGGAAGAGAGTGGAAACCAAGAAATCCCTGAACTCCACGTCAGCCCTCTCTGGAAAATACCAGACAATGAAGCGCTGTGTGAGGCAGACGCAGCATTTCTGGGAGGGCTCAGGAGCCAAACAGGGGTTGGCAAAGGACAGGAAAATCTTCAGGGCAGGAGAGAGCTGTGCCCGCCCCCTGCTCCCCCCTTCCCCTCGGGCCCAAACAAAGCCCCAGACCCAGCACTGGCCTCCCACCCACCCCCACAGGACCAGTTGGGGTCCTGGCTAGCTCCCAAGAGGGAGGTCTGCTCCTAGCCAAGCCAGGGGGGGAGGACGGAGGCACTGTCCAGAAAGGGGGACAGAGCCCCTGTGGAGGTGGCTGCTGCAGCTGCGAAGGAAGAGAGGGAGGGGAAGGGAAAGGAAGGCAAGGGAGGAAAGGAAGGGAAGGGAGGAAAGGAAAGGAAGGGAAGGGGGCCGAGCTGGAGCTGCAGTCACGTCACTGGGAGTGTGAGATGTGCGAGGGGAGGACTCAGGCTTTGTCTAACTCTCTTGGCCTTAGGCCACGGGCTGGCATTCCCACTAGCAGGAGGCAGGGCTGGTGTGTGAGGGATAATGACAGGAGAGGGAGAGAGGAGAGAGGAGAGGAGAGGAGAAAAGAGAGTCCATCTTGGATGCAGATGGCAGGGGAGAAGAATGGGGATTGTGACCAAGAAGGACCCCAGGGATAGGCAGGAAGGAGGCAGCCCCCCCCAAAAAAGAACAAGTATCATTTGAGACTTGTGAGGCATCTGACCATTGGGAGTAAAAGGAAAATGACCAAAGAGGAAGGAGAAGGAAACATTAGGTCCTAGACAGAAATGGTACAGGTCAGAGTGCCAGAATCTGGGAGATCCTGGGATCCACTGTCAGGGCTGGGGCAGGAAGTGACCAAGACCCTTCCTCCACTCTCCTTCCTCTCTCCATATACACAGCCTTCCGTAGGGCACCAAGAACAGAGCTGAGGAGTAATTATCCTGTATGTACTGCTACACTGTCACTACCCCCCCCCAAAAAAAACACCTTGAAAGAGAGTCAATAGAGAAAGAAAAATAAATCAATTGCCTGTCTTCCTAAGGGGAGACAGGAGCCGGTCACCAGCTCAGAGATAAGAATATTTAAGGGGAACATGGTGGCCACTTTCTCTTTGTCCTTCAACCACATGCCCACACCTGGTGGAAACATGGAGGGGAGGGGGAGGCTGACCGGGGCAGCCCTCTCACACTCCCCCCCCCCCCCCCGCCGCCAGACCCATCCCCAGGGACAACACAGCACCACCCCCATGGGGATGCGGCCAAATCTGGGGCTCTCTCCCCCCCACCCCCAAGGCGGTTCTCTCCCTGGCATTCCACCCCCATCCCAGCCTGGGTGTATAAAGGGTCAGAGTTCACCACTTCAAGGGGGAGGGGACAGGGCCGGAGCCCAGTCCCAGAGTTGCCATTTCCCCCCCTCCTCCCCGAATGGAGAGAACCCCCAGCCGGGATGACTCCTCCCCGAGGCACACTCAGGCTTCTTGGGTTCCACCCTCTCCTCCCCCCAACTCTTACTCCCCAGACCTTAGCTCTCCTCAAACTGGCACCAGAAGGGCAGAAGAAGCCCCTCCTTGGGAGCGTCTGGCAGACTGACGGCTCCCTGCTTTTCTTAGAGCTCTCTGGTCTAGGGTACCCCGAGCTCCACTTGGGAGGCCAGAGGGGGCCGCTTACGGGGATCTTCCAAACTTTTCAGTCTCTGCCGATCCTACTCCCCCTCCTCCCGACCCCTGGGCCAGTCCTGGACAGGAAACGATGAGTCGGTTCCCGATTCATGGAGGCAAGATGTAACCTCTTCATCCAGCACCCTAGGCCCTCCCCTGAGCCCCAGAAGGTAGACTGAAGTAACACCTGCCTGCCCCCCGCCCCAATAAAATACATGCACCACAGACGCCGGCTCCTAACCACACTTATTGCCCCAGTCCCACCTCAGGCACCTTCCTCCCAAAGACACAGGGACCCCTCTTCCATTAGCAACCCCCCCCCCATTTCCTGCCTTAACATTGACTCCTACACCTATATTCCTGGACAATCCCCCCGCCCCACATACATACGGACACACTCACACTTCTATACACGTGCTTTTTTTTTTTAAACTATCTACTTTTCTATCCCCGTCTCACCGTTTCCCATTTGCACACGCACATCCAGTCACACACACACACACATACACACACACGCATCCCTTCCCAAACTCGGGCTCCCCCCGCCACGCTGCCTTTCCTCTGGCACCCCCAGCCGCGCGCCCACCCGGGACCCTTCCCCACGCACTCGCTAGCGCACACACCATCGCCGGGGTCTCGGCATGCCCGGCTCCTCGCACTCCCGGGCACGGGCGCTGTCTGCCCCCAGCCCATCCACCCACCCACCCAGACACTGATACGCACACGCACTCACTCACACACTCGGGTCAGCGAAGCGGCCGGCAGCCGCTCCCCGAAGCCGCCGGCAGGGGCCCTCGCCGAGCCGCCCAAAAGCTTAAAGCGGGGGGGGGGGGGGGGAACGAGAAAAAAAGCCACCCTCCCCTCCCGGGGCAGCGGCACCGGCGGCGGCGGCGGCGGCACCGGCGGCATCTTCGGCGGCTGCTGGAGCCTCGCCGCCCCCTCCCCCACCTCCCCAGCCAGCTCCCTCCCGATCAATCAGCCGCCCGGGGCCAGGCAGGCTAGGACCACGGAGGCAGGGGAGTCGGAGCGCGCGGTGGCGGCGGCGGCCCGCAAGCGGGGCCACCCGGGCTGCCTCCCCGTGCGCCCCGCTTCCCAGCCCCGGGGCCAGCGGGCGAGCCGGCCGGGCGGGTGAAGTTTGCAAGGGGGGCGGCACGGGGGGGAGAGCCCGGCGCTCGGGAATCATGGCGGCTGGGAAGCTGCGCTCCGCCGCCGACCCTCGCCGGGGCACCGGTCCCCGGCTGCCCCCGGGCCCCCGGCGCTCCCTTTGTGTCCGGCTCCGGGGCGCGCGGGGCTCCGGGGGCAGAGCCCGGCGACCGCCAAACTTCCCCTGCACTTGCCCGGGGGCTCACTTACCCGGGTTCAGGGACGCGCCCGGCATGTGGGCGTTCAAGTTGGGCTTGTAAGACATGCCCGGGGAGGCGAGCGGCTCCCGGAGCCCGCAGGTCCCGCGATGCGGTGGAGCGCCTCCGCGCCCTGGCTCCCCAGCCCACTTTTTGTTTACGGCTCCGCCGGCACCGGCAAATATGGCCGTCACTTATATTGACACCCACAATGCAGTATAGTTTCCATACATCACCGGGGAAGGGGAGCCACAAAGTTTGGAGAGGGCGCAGCCCGGGGGGAGGCGGCGGGTCGCCCTCCCCGACCCCTCCTCGCACGCCCCAGCAGCCAAATGCGCCTCACTTGTGCCCGGATTCTTTTCTTTCTTTCTTTTTTTTTTTTGCAACCAGCCTTAGGATTTTTCCCCCCCCTGGAGGATGAACTTGGCAAACTTTTGGGGGAATTGGTTTTCAGCTCCTGCGCAGGGTGGGGAGGGAGGGGCCACGAGGGTCAGAGGGTGGCGGGCCTTTTTTTTTTTTTTAATTTCAATTTTTTTTTCAGTGAAGAAAGAATTAACATTTTATTCCTTTATGGCCATTTTAACTCTTTAAAAAATCCACACTGGAAAAAAATGTAGAAGATCCTAGCTGAAGAGCTTCAAGGGGCCTTAGAGGCTAACTAGTCTAACCCCCTCTTGTTTTACAGAAAGGGAAACTGAGGCCCCGAGAGGACAGGTGACTTGCCAAAGAGTATACAGGTCCTAAGTCATGAGAGCAACGATCTAGAGGTTGGAAGGGCCCTCGTAGGCGATGTAGTCCAACACTCTCCTTTTACGGAACAATCCACAAGCATTTTATTAAATGGTTATTGTCTGCCAGGCACTGTACTAAATCCTGGGGTTACAAAGAAAGGCAAAAACGTGGTCTCTCTGAAATTGAGGCCTAAGGAGATGGAATGCCTGGCCCAAGGTAACACAGTAGCTGCTGGATTAGAACTCAGGTCATCTGACTCCAAACTCAACATTCTTTCCATGGGCACAAAATAAAACGGACAGTGGGTAGATTAATTTCCCCCTGTTCTCCTCCTTTTTTCCCTACTATGTTTCAAAGGGATAGGGGTAGGAAGTGGGGGACTGTGCAGACAGATGAAAAATTACTCAGTGAAATTTACAATTAAACTTTGTAATCACTCCCACTGGGCGTTTTTTTTCCTCCCTAATTAGGAATAAGGATAGGGGCTGGCCCTGTGATTATAATCCATGCTGGGAACTCCCAGTTGAAGAAACTCTCTCCACCCTAACTGGTGGGCACCTTCTCTGTAACTTGGAGTCTTAACTCCCTATAGCAATGAGAGGTTAAGTGACTTGCCCAGTCAGACAGCCAGTAGGTGTCAGAGGTGGCCCTTGAACTGAGATCTTGCTTTCAAGGCCAGCCAGTAGGCAATATTGCCTAGTAATTAAGATGCCAAAACAAGCAATTGAAATCAGCTTTATATGACTAATTTTCAGGCAACCTGGTATAGTGGAAAGAGCAATGACCTTGGAAAGGAAAGACCTGGATTTAAATCCTGCTTCCTATGCTTACTAGCTGGGTGACAATCCAAAGCTCACTTCATTTCTTTGAACCTCAGTTTCTTCTTCAGTAAGATTGGGATAATTAATCATCCTTGTAGTGTCTACTTCACAGTAGGTTTTGAGACTCAAATGACATGATGCAAGTAAATTAAAACACTTAGCAAACCTTAAACCATTGTATAAACGCCTATTATTGTTATATTATTCTTCTTCCAGCTTCTCTGAGACAGGATTCCAGATACCAGTTTGATGAATTTCATTTATACTCATTTGATTGATCTGGACCCTTGTGCCATCCCCTAACCTCAACTAAACGATAAGTTCTTTGATGACAATAGGAACTATCTCATTTTTACCCAGAATGCCTAGTACAGGTGCCTGGCACATAGTAAGCATTTAATAAATGTTGATTGAATTAGACACAACTGTTTCCTTGGTTCTGTGTTGGGTCCCTTGAGCCTCAGCCTAAAGCCCTGCTCTTTTAAAAAATATATATATATATATTATATAAAGCAATTTTAATTTTAAAATAGTTAAACCTCTCTCCTTCCTTTTCCAATGAATAAAACATTCAAAGACACAAATCTCTGGGGCTGATCCACAGCCTGAGGGCAGACTGGCCTGGTATATGCCTCTGGATTCCAGGCCTTACTTTTTCCACCCCTCTTTTCACTTTAAAAAAAAAAAAAGCACACTGGGAGAATACCAGCTTCCAAAGATTTCACCAAACCTACCCATCACTCCCTTTATCCCATTTTCCCACCAGGTATTGAGCAATCTCTTCCTCAGAGTAAAGTTAGTTGAATGCCTTTAATGTTAATGCCTTCCCAATGTTGAAAATCTCCACTTTATTTTGTCTATATCTTATTTGTCCATAGTCTGCATGTTGTCTTCCCCATCAGACTGTGAGTTCCTTGAGAGTAGGGAATGTCTTTTGCCTTTCTTTGTATACTCACCATTTTACACAGTCCCTGGTACGCTATTGTTCAATTGTTTCTGACACGTCCTGACCCCAATGCGTGCTAGGGCTGTCCGTGGGATTTTCTTGGCAAAGATACAGGGAGTGGTTTGTCATTTCCTTCTCCAGGGGATTAAGGCAAGCAGAGGTTAAGTGACTTGCCCAGGGTCACACAGCTATTATGGAGAGATTTGAACTCAGGTCTTCCTAATTCCAGGCCCAGCCCTCTATCTGCTGAGCCACCTAGCTGCCTCTTCCTGGCACATACTATGTATTTGTTAGATGCTAGTTGACTCACTAAGTCCAGGGGTAGCTGATTTATTTTTTAGGCAATTGGGGTTGTGACTTGCCCAGGGTCAAACAGCTAGTAAGTGTCAAGTGTTTGGTCCGAGGCCGAATTTGAACTCAGGTCCTCCTGACTTCAGGGCCAGTGCTCTATCCACTGTGCCACCTAGCTGCCCCAATAGCTGAATTTTTTAAAGAAGACTGGAAAGGACAATGCTAAACCCAAAGGAATAACTCTCTAATGGCAGAATTTCAAGTACTTTGGCACTGGAGTGGCTATAAGGGGCTTCCCAGTGCATTCTAGCGTAATCTGTAATTCAGTAGAAAGAACTCTGGCCTGGAAGAACTGACTTGATCATTTTCTTATTTATGTGAACCTGGACAAGTCATCTCTCAGAACCTCAATTTCCTTAACTGTAAAATGGGAATAATTTTTGAAAGTTCTAGCTGCTCAGAGGCAGCTCAGTGGCACAGTGGATAGAGTCTTAGACATGTAATCATGAAGACCTGAGTTTGATTTTTGCCTTAGACTCCTATAAGCTGTGTGACCCTGGACAAGTTGATTAACCTCTGCCTCAGTTTCCTCCCCAGCAAAATAAGGATAATAAGAGTACCTATCACCTAGGATTACTGTGAGGATCAAATGAGATGATGTTTATAAAGCTCTTACACAATGCTTGGCACACAGTAGGCACTATGTAAATGTTAACTATTCTTTTTATTCATAAACTGGGGGTAATAATAGCACCCACATCCCAGGGTTGATGTGAAGATCAAATGAGATATTTGTAAAGCACTTAGCACAGTGCCTGGCACACCGTAGGTGTTATTGTTTGTCCTTCGTTTTCAAAGAGGACCATGACCTCAGGAAAATGATGCCATGACTTGCAAGTGAATTAGATGTAAGTGAGGGAGGGCTGTGCAAAGCCACCAGCCTCACTTTCTCCTCCAGAGCCATGTGGGTCCGGTGGCCGAGATCTAGATCAGGACAACTGGAGATGGCCCCGGATGCAGTGGGAAACCATGGCCTTTTTTTCCTAGTATATAGTAGGTGCTTAATAAATGCTTGTTTCCTTCCTCCCCTGGCTGTAGTCAGAAAAGTACTTTTTAAACCCAGAAGTATCAGAGATATTGTTATTATTATCTTCTCTCTCAACAGAACCAATACTGGTTCCCTTGATTTGGAGGGTTTGGGATTTATGAAAGCCAGGGAGTGGATTGGGGGAGAGAAATTTGGGAAGTTTCTGGGGAACGATGAAGAGGAACTCAATCTAAAGGAGGAAAGGGTTTGAGAATGACCTGAGGAAGGAAGAAAGGAAAGAGGGAAGGAGGAAATGAGGGAATAAGCATTTATTGCTTACCAAGTGCCAGGCACTTGACTAAGAACTGAACATAAAAATAGAAGAAAGGATACAGTCCCTGCTTTCAAAAAGCCTCATACAATACATATCGGGGAGTGGCTGCCACGGAGTATTTTGGACAGGGGTGTCCCAGGGCTGAGGAGTCAATTCAGTCAATCTATTGACCTGCCCTTTCCAGAAGCAATGGTTTTATGAGGTGACTATACTCAAAAGGGAACACTGGGCAGAGCCCTGGACCACAGCTGGACATCTGAAAGGAAAGTGGAAAAGGGAGACAATGGAGCGGCTAGGTGGCGCAGTGGATAGAGCACCGGCCCTGAAGTCAGGAGGACCTGAGTTCAAATCCGGCCTCAGACCAAACACTTGACACTTACTAGCTGTGTGACCTTGGGCAACTCACTTAACCCCAATTGCCTCACTAAAAAAAAACAAAAAACAAAGGAGAGGCAAGAAGAAAAAGGATACTGATTGAAAATCAAAGGTCAAAGGTCAAAGAAATAGGCAGGCAAGCTCCGTATGATTCCCGAAGGCTTAATAGGTGAAAAAGGGTTAGAGGATGAGATGGAAGGCTATAAAGATGCTCACAAGTTGTAAACAGCCACTCTGGAAGACAAGGACTGAGGATCTCACTGTAAGTACACATGGAGAACGTGGTCAATTTTGTCCTGCTTTGGATGGAGGGCCTAATGTTTCCCTATCTGCCACACCCAAGTGACTGATAGCTGGCTCCCAAATTCAGACTGGGGTCTACCTCCCAGAAGAGACAGTGGAGAGACCTGAGGGATCCATCTCCTTACTTCACCTTATTAGGGGTTATAAAGGGATAATGGGTTTTGGTTTGCTTTGGTTTTTAAGTTGGAGGAGGAGAAGAAGGGCTTTCACAAACACAGGAGAAAGTAGAAAAAGAGTCTTAAAAAAAAGTCTAAAAAGGAAAGAATCCTGACCTGGGTCAGGAGATTGGAGGATGGAAGAGTACCTGGGAGAAGAAGGGAAAACCAGATACTACTGCACATTTGAAGCCAGAGATAAATGTGAAGTTCTTCTTTTAAAAATTTTATTTATTTCCAATTACACATAAAAACAAGTTTAACATTCATTTTTTTAAAATTTTGAGTTCCAAATTCTCTCCTTCCCTCTTCCCCCCCACCCCAGAGAAGTCAAGCAATTTG